TTGTACTGTATACCCTATAAGGCGAAGAATTCGCCAATCTGGAGACTCGATAACCAACTTTGTCAAAATATCAAAGAATAGATGGCAAATCCTTGAATGTACTATCATCCTTTGAAACAAAAATTCATTTCGCATGACTTCCTTTATTTTTCGTGGTGCAATATATTCTTTTTCCCTGGAAAATAGTATATTTCCAAAAATTTTCATGACCTGACATAAAGGTAAAATAAACTTTAATCGAGCTTGAAGAAATACCATCATTACCTTATATATCAAGATTTGTTTGTTACCTCGTGCTCAACGGCAAAGGGACAAGCTGCCCATAAACTATTAAATTATATTGAGACTAAGATTAGTCTAACATTCTGCATAGACTCTAGTTATATCTGTAATGGTTTGAAAATAAAACATGCCCGGACTTCGCTTCAGTACTAAGTTTATCAAATATTGATTCTGAAAATACTACTTTTTCAACAAATTCGCATGATAACACCTCACAATTTTCTGTGTACGATGTTACATGCAATGCTCGATATGTTGCTGATCGAATTATAAGATCTGCCATTTCCGACATTGACGAATCATTCAAAAGTGATAGAAATTGTTCAGAGATTTTAATGAAATATTGGGACTAAAATTATGCTTTATTAATCAAACGGGATAAATATATAATTGCATTACATATTTTCATTGCGAAAACATACCGGCATTACTAATGATTTTGTTATTATTGTTTCCAAAAATTCCCTGATTACGGTAGCAGACTCTGTGACAATAATCTTTTGTAATTCATAATTTCCAACGCCGCATGATCTAGCTATATACTCTGAGGCATTGTCACGATTATAAGAAGGATTATGGCGAAAGAATAAAGAATTTATTTTATTCAGACACCAATTCTTTGATTGACTGAAAATTAAATATTTAAATATTAGCAAAATTTGAATTGCAAGTTATCTGAAAGATTTTACATACCCGTTCGAATCTGTTAGTGAATCCGAAAACCCAGATACACATTTAGAGTATTCTAAAATACATTTCACAACTAATCGGCAAGTTTCTGAATGAAGGATAAGAATTCTATTTTTCTAATTTAGATCCAACGATATATGAATGAATGATAATGAATCAATGTAAAGT